ATGATGAGCTCAAGTATAGCAGGGATTGTGGGGCTGGCGCAGGATCGGCAGTGTTTTGTTCTGCTGTGCATGGGGTCGCTATGAGTCGGAAATGACTCGACGGCACTTAACAACAACAACAACAACAAGAAGCGATCCTATAGGACAGAGGATCCCCTTAGGATTTCATAGGCTGTAATCTTTATGAGAGCAAACTGCCACATCTTTCCCTCATGGAGTGGCTGGTGTGTTTGAACCACTGACCTTTTGGTTAGCAGCTGAGTTCTTAAACTCTGTACCACCAGAGTGCTTTCACAGCCAAAAGAGTGGTAATTTAAATTCAATTTAACTGCTTTACATCCTTACCTAAAAGTCGGCAGCTGCCCAATGCCTACGGGATAGAGCTCAAGAACCTTCACATGCCTATCAAAGCTCTCCACAATCAGGCTCCTGCATAACTTCCCAGTTTCATCCTTGCCACTCCCTAACAGATACTTTCTGCTCTATCAGTACCTACCTGCTTGCATTTCCTGGCACCAAACATACTTTATCATGCTCTTGGAACCCTGCTTTGCTCTTCCTTTTTACTTGAATGCTCTCCATTGTTCTCTAGTCTGACAAATACCTCCTCATTCTGTAAGACTTCTCATCGTCATGCTGGGCACTCTTCCTAGTTATTCTCGTGATACAGTGTGCATCTCTCTCTTACTACACATCTATGTTTTATTACTACCTGTTCGTGTTTCTGTCTAATACTGTTACCCCCTAAAAGGCCAGGCATACACACATAGGGGACACTTAACACCTCTCTTTACCAGCTTATCCATCAACCTATATTCATCATCTCTGCCTAATGTCCTCTTACAGAGAAAGAAGTGGGCCTGTCCCTCTCCAAGGCCAATCTCTCCACATGCCCTCAGGATCCCATCTACTCTGGGTTTTGCTCCTTTAGATAACCCCTCTATCTCTACTGGAATATTCCCATTAGTTCACAAACACACTCTAGTACCTTCCATTAACAAAAATAATACATGACACAAGACACAACCCTCCCTGGTTGCCAAAATGCCCTCTAGTAAGTGCCCCATTAGGTGGGTACTCCTCTTTGCAACTTCTAATGATATTCTCAATGTTGTGCTATCCCTGGATAATTTTACAAAATGTACATTTTGTCAGTCTACTGTCATCCAGAATGCCAAAGAAATGTTAGTGTGGAAAAATAGGAAGAAGGAGGAAGGGCACAAGAGCAACTCATGGTCCCCAACAATTTGACTTCCTGGGAATGTGTAGTGAGCGTGCTTTGATAGCAATGTGTTACCCAGCAGGACACACTAAGCAGTGCAGATTAGCAATAGTAAACCTAAAAATGCCAACTCATTCTTTCTTTAATGAACTACAGTGGCAAGACAGACATGAACCACAGTGGAAATACAACAGTCACTGTACTTGCTGCCCACATCTGCACATGCACAGAGCTTGACACAGGAAGCTTACTAGCTCACCTTCTTCCCAGTGAGGACGGCCACACCACCATTCTCAATGTGAGGCAGGTC